CTTGAGCCCAGGAGTTGGAGGTTGCTGTGAGCTGTGATGCCATAGCACTCTACCCAGGGAGACAGCTTGAGGCTCTTTCTCAAAAATTAAAAAATTAAATAAATAAATAAAAAGAAATACTCCTGCTTGCTTCTGGTTTCCATTTGCATGGAATGTCTTTCTTCCTCCCTTCACTTTTAATCTGTCTTTATGGGTGAAGTGAGTTTCTTGTAGTTGGGCCATTTATTTAGTCCATTCAGCCAACCTATATCTTTTTTTTTTTTTAAGAGATGGGGTCTCATTATTGTGCCCAGCCTATCCTCAAACTCCTGGACTCATGTGATTCTCCTGCCTCGGCCTCCCAAATAGCTAGGTCTATGGGCACATACCTTAATCCCATGCTTCTCTATACCCCCTTGGGTTTTAAGTGGAGGACTTAATCCATTTATATTCAGGTTATTGTTCATTGGTGAGGACTTATTCCTGTCATTTTTTAAATTATTTTCTGGTTATTTTGTATAGCTTTTGTTTCTCTCTTACTGTTCTCATTGCTATTTGGTGATTTTCTTTAGTGATCAGGTTTGATATATTTCCCCTTCTGCTTTATATACCTGCTCTACAGGTGGGTTTTATACTTTTTGTGTTTTCATGATAGTGATTATTGTCTTTTTGCTTCCAGATGTTGAGCATTTCTTGTAAGGCTTGTCTAGTAATGAATTCCCTGAGTTTTTGCTTGTCTTGGAGGAACTTACATTTTTAACTAGCACTTCCAGTCATTCTGAAGATGGGTATCTGGAGGACCACAATTTGAGAAACCATCAGTAGATAATAAATTTATGCTCTCTGTTCTTTTTTTATATTTTCCAAAGGAGACAGGGTTTCACTGGATGGGTCTCAAATTGCTGGCCTCAAGCAATCCTCCTGCCTCAGCCTCCAAAAGTGCCAAGATCATAGGGGTGAGCCGCTGGGCCCAGCACAACTGTTGTTTTTCTGTATGTTAGTTCCATATTCAGTTTATAAAGTCCTGCTTCTCTGAGCCTCTCCTGGTTTTCCGTGCTGCCTGATTCATGAGTCCTTTAATGCTTAAATAAACTGTTAAAATTTGTTTTGTTGGCTCGGCGCCCATGGCTCAAGTGGCTAAGGTGCCAGCCACATACACCTAAGGTGGCGGGTTCAAATCCATCCCGGGCCCGCCAAACAACAATGATGGCTTCAACAAAAAATAGCTGGGCACTGTGGCGGGTGCCTGTGTGTGGTCCCAGCTACTTGGGAGGCTGAGGCAGGAGACTTGCTTGAGCCCAGGAGTTGGAGGTTGCTGTGAGATGTGATGTCACAGCTCTCTACCCAGGGGGATAGCTTGAGGCGCTGTCTCAAAAATATATATATATATTTATGCTCTGTTGTAAGATCTGCGGATAGGTACAGGAGGAAACTTCTGGAATAGCCTCAAGGTTCAAGAGAAGATCTACATTACTTGAAGTGTTGTGAGCAGAAGAGGTTTAGTGAGTAACATCTAAAAATATATCTTGGGAAATAATCCATCTTGAGAAGTTCACCTTTTGCTCTTCTCCCAGATGTTAAAGATGAAGAACTATCTAAAGCTATTCAATACCAACAGCATTTTTTGAGACGAGTGAAGAGGCGAGAAAAACAATTTACAGGTAATGAAAATATCCAAGGGATCTTCTTGGGTATATAAAACTGAGACATCCTAGCAAAAGGGAGTTCTGTGCTCATTTATTCTCTTTTATACACAGGTTTCCCTAAATGGTAAATGGGAAAAAAAAAAAAAAGAAAAGGCCCCTGGCATGACTGAAGGGGCAAAGGTCAGAGGGCCTTCATGTTTAGGAGATGGAGAGAAGGGTAGGTGTCTCTCATGGCCTCCTCTTAGAAAGTGGGGAGTCCAGAGATACTGTCCCCAGTTAAAAGGAAACAAGAGAAGTTTCAGTACGTTCTTGAAAAATCAAAAAGAAAACCCCTTCTCAGCCAAGGTCCACTCAGGAAAAGAGAACCTATGTAGGACTTCAACAGAAGGGATTTAATGTAAGGAACTTGCTTCAGAGGTGTTGGGAAAACGAAACACAGAAAAGGTGAGAAGGCCCAAAGAGTAACCCTTGCAGGGGAAGGAAGCCACCCACTACTCTCCCTGGAGCTGGAGGGACGGCAGGAGGATGTGGTGTTAGCAGACCCTAGAGGAGCTAAGATGGAGAAGACAAGAGGAGGCAAGAAATACGCTGGCTTCTCCCCTGCGCCTCCTGTTGTCAAGTCTAACTAGAAGCCAGTGGGCAGGGCAGCCTAAGAAACATAGTTTGGAGGGGTCTATGTGCTGGAGTCTGGAGCCAGGAAAGGCAGGGAGGGGACCTGAGAACCAATGGGCACACGCCCATAACAGTACTGCTGGCCACACAGCCTGGTGTTCCCAGGGCTGCTTCAGTTTACACCTGTTGTCCTGGGGGCATTATGAACAGTGTCTCCTTTCCTCCCCAAAGTGTCCTGTTGTGATGATAAATTTTATGGTCATCCCACCAATGCAGAGAAACTGAGACTAGGATATAACTGTATTGGGAAGAGAAGAAAGGCAATGAGTAAAGTTGAAGAAAGGGAGGCAGGGAGACACCGGCAAAGAGGGACCAAGAAGGGGGAAAGGATTTAACTTTTAATTATAATAATAAAAAAATAAATAATTGCATGCCAAAGCAGGAAGGGAGGTGGAAGAGCCAGACTAGATGTCCAACATATGTTGGTACACGATTCTGGCAACTGAATGTCGTTCCATCAACCCCACTCTGGCCTCTTCATCTACCTGCAGGAGACAGGACAGGGAATAGCACAATTGGATTTGTAACACAAGGTCCATTTTGTAGCTGCCACTGAAGGTCACAAAGGGGAAAGGAGAGGAATTCCCAGGAAGCTTCCAGAGACTGCTGCCCTGGTTCGGCCTGCCTGAGCCAGAGCAAGCTGTGGCTGCTTGTGGCTAAGGTGGTCAGGGCCTTGCATGTACTCCCTGGACAGCTGCCTGTTCCCTGGAGCCTGACAGTCTGAGGCCCAGAGAGGAAGATGCAAAAACCCCAGAGTCTAAGGCCTTTCCTGGGACCCCTCTAGGTTGACCTACAGCTTAGCAAATTGTCTGGGAGTGGTGTGTTCATTCTTGTACTTGTGACACACAGCCAAGGAGCAGGTGGCAGCTGGCAGAGAGAATAAGGGCACCAAGTCTGAGGTCTGGTCATCTGAATTCAAATCCAGAATCTGCCCCTTACTCACTGTGGAAGTCACTTGACCTCTCTGAACCTCAGTTTCCTCATCTATAAACAGGCAGTTAACAGTGCCCCTTTCATAGGGTTGTTGGTAATTAAGACCTGATCCTCATACAAAGTGTTCCCTGTGGTGTTTGGTGTGTGGTAGGCCACTGATACTCATAAACTGCCAGGGCACCCCCCATAACATCTGGCTACTTTTTCTATGTTTAGTACAGACGAGGTCTCACTCTTGCTCAGGCTGGTCTTGAACTAGAGAGCTCAAGACATCCTCCTGCCTCAGACACCCAGAGCTCTAGGATTACCAGTGTGAGCCACTATGCCCAGCCAACAACCTTGAACAACCTCTAGGGGTCTGTTTCGAGTTTTCAATACCATTCAATACAAATTCTAAAGATGCCCATAACCGGGTGTCTTACAGGCTGTTTGTTCAGGTGTCCACTATGGCATCTTTCCCCAATGGAAGGAGGAAGGGTGTCAGGGTCTCGGGGAAGAACAGTTCAAGTCATGAACTGGAACACGACAGGGCTAATACTCAGCACCTCTGCATTTTCCTCCCTCAAAGGGACCTGCCTGGGGGCTTTCCCTTCCCCTGTCCAAGGTCTTTCAGTAGGAGGAAAGTAATCCTGGCTCCCTCCTGCCTGAGCAAATAGGTTGTGAGACCAAAAGCGTGCAGCCCACCTTGAGCTCAAAGAACCAAATACATCTGAGGGTTTTCTGCCTCAGCCAGGTGAGGGCACATGGGACTAGGCAGGCCAGAGGTAGCTGTGAGAGGGGGCACTGGAGCCAAGAAATGAGCTGTGGAGTTACCTGGGCCAGGGAATTCAGTTCTGCTTCCCAAGCCTCAGTTTCCCCATTTTAGAAGGTCTGATGCAAGACTCAAGACGAGGTTCTGTCTGGTGCATGCAGTTGATTGAAGCAGACCATCGCAGGGACAGGCTGAGGCCAGGAGGAACTGAACAAGGGTGTGACCTCAGGTCAGACTTCACAGAGGATGGAAGGGAGAGAGAGGGTTTGGAACACAAATTGCACCACTGGATTATCTCCCTGAGACAAGGCAGCTGGGCTTCTATATCCTTGTTAGTGAGTCATTTGGGAGGGGACACACCTCCCAGATGGAGCAGGGAGCCTTTAGCAGCCAACATGCACAGCAGCTGGTGGACGGGTACCCAGCCCAGCAAAGGAGATCTAAGGGGACACGTCCACACGGCGCAAGTTGGCTGGGCTGACATCTGAAAAGCACTTACACTGGAACCGTGTTGACTAAAGGGCCAATGTTGCCTCTACCCAACACTCACAGGAGGCTCTCTCTCCCCCCAGATGGCTGCTCCACACACAACACAGCCGCAGCGGTCGCAGCCTTGGGTGGCTTCCTCTACATCCTGGCAGAGTACCCTCCAACAAACAGAGCACCTCACTGGTCAACACTGTCACCACCAAGCAGCTACTGAGACAGATGGTTCCACACCTGCTGCCCAGAAGCTAAACACATCCCTTGAGTCTGTCTTCCTTAGGTCTCTGGGGACATGGGTCACATCCTGAGAAGGAGGCATCTAAAGAAAGAGATCAGCAAGGCAGCCCAGATCCACCATCTCAGGTGGTTTGGAAGCCCTGAGTGAGCAGGACCAGCAGGCAGGAGCTGGGAGGGACCTGGGGGTGCAAGCAGATGAATAAACTTAGAGTGCAAATGAGTTGAGTCTTGTTTCTCAGCCTCAAGAACCACTTTTTTTTTTTTTTTTTTGAGACAGAGTCTTACTCTGTCACCCTGGGGTACAGTGCTGTGGCATCATCACAGCTCACAGCAACTTCATACTCCTAGGTTTAAGCAATCCTCTTTGCCTCAGCCTCCTGAGTAGCTGGGTCTACAGGCTCCTGCCACAATGCCTGGCTAGTTTTTCTATTTTAGAAGATACTCCGGCTGGTCTCCTGAGCTCAAGAGATCCTCCTGCATCAACCTCCCAGAGTGCTAGGATTATAGGCATGAGCCACCATGCCCAGCTGACAACCTTGAACAACTTCTAGGTATCTGTTTTAAGTCCCAAATACCACTCAACACAAATTCTAAAGATGCCCATAAACTGGGGTCTTACAGGCTGTTTGTTCAGGTGTCAACTATGGCATCTTTTCCCAGTGGAAGGAGGGTCTTAGGGTCTTGGGAAAGAACGATTCAAGTCATGAGCTAGAACTCAAGAAATGACCATGAAAGGCAATGTGCACTAATTTTCATATCCTGTGCAAAAACTCTACAATATCATTAGGTCATGTCATAGTTCATTTCACCAATGGTAGTGTAGCACAGTGGCTGGCCGCGTGGTTCTGAGGCCAGACTGCTGGAATTCAAATCTCAGCTCTCTGGGGCTCCGATAGTCACTACCTTCTCTGTGACTCAGTTTCCTCATCAGTAAAATCAGAATGATAATATCACCTGTCTGAATATTACCTCCACTGCTGGGAGAATTATGTTTATAGAGTACTGAAAACAGTGCCTGGAACTTATCAAGTGCCAGGTAAATGTTACCTGCTGTCACAAGGTGATGATGTCCCATGAATTGAGGGCTTGTCCCAAAGTGGCAGGAAGGGAAGCAGCAGCTGACAGTTCATGGTTTTTGTCATCCCCAGGGCACAGCTGGCCCTGTGAGCCCTGACTCAGTGAGAGTAGATTAACCAGTTAGCTATGGCTGTGACACTCCTGGCATTTGACAAAAGCCCTCCTGAAACCTTATTATGGGTTCAGGTGCTGTCTGCCATGCTGAGGCCAATCCAGAATCAAAATTAGACCCCAGGGTAGAAAAACACAGGGAATCCTCCGACTCTTGGGGTGTGAGGCTCTGTGAACACATCGTCCTGCTTTGCTTCAAGGTAGGAAATAGCTACTAATCATCCTTACATGGCAACTTAGTCATATTTAAACTTGAACATCTGAATATATTCCTCTGCTCCTTCTGTGCCCAGCCGAGCACCCAGAGGTGGAGGGAGTGGGGAGAGTGTTTCTTCTACATCAGCGGTTCTCAACCTGTGGGTCACGACCCACAGGAACTGTATTAAAGGGCCGCGGCATTAGGAAGGTTGAAATGCACTGTTCTAGATCTTTCCTTTGGGAGGTAATCTCCCTTCATCTAATCTGCTGATGTTCTCGGGCTGTTTTCCTATAAGTGCTCGAAGTTATCGGACCCAGAGGTACATTCCTGGATTTTGCTGACAAGTTTGATTTACTTTTTTTTTCTGAGACAGAGTGTCATTCTGTCACCCTGGGTAGAGTACAGTGGTGTCATCACAGCTCACAGCAACCTCAAACTCCTGGGATCAAGTGATTCTCCTGCCTCACCCACCTGAGTAAGTGGGACTACAGGCACCTGCCACTACACCTGGCTAGTTTTTCTATTTTTACTAGAGATGGGGGTCTCACTATTGTTCAAGCTGGTCTCAAACTCCTGAGCTCAAGTGATCCTCCCAGCTCAGCCTCCCAAAGTGCTGGGATTATAGGCCTGAGGCACCGCTCTAGGGCTTGACTACTTTTTTGACATTGCTATTTTCTTGGGTAAGCAGGGGCCAGAACTTAACACCTACACAGCATTCTGTACATTTCAAGAATTTCTTTTCTATTGTTTTTCCACAACAAAAATGTACCAAAACAGGTGCATGACCTTGGGGCAAGTCAGCTGCACAGAAATGGATTAGGAGGGAGCTGCGTCCCGCCCCTATCCTTCCCGAATTTGGGATGGATTAGTCACTGCATCCTGACACTGGTTTGTTTCAGAACGCTTAAGTTACTAAAGCAGGGGGATGAAATGACTATAGGAGAAACCTGAGCTTCCAAGTCACTCTGAAGAAAAAAGAATTCTAGGCCCGGCTTAGTGGCTCATGCCTGTAATCCTAGCACTCTGGGAGGCCAAGGAGGGGTGGATTGCTCAAATTCAGGAGTTGGAGACCAGCCCGGGCAAAATCGAGACCCTGTCTTTAAAAATAGCCAGGCATTGTGGCAGGTGCCCGTAATCCCAGCTACTCGGGAGGCCGAGACAAGAGGATTGCTTGAGCCCAAGAGTTTGAGGTTGCTTTGAGCTATGATGACTCCAGGGCACTCTACCCAGGTCAACAGAATGAGATGTTGTCTCAAAAAAAAAAAAAGAAAAGAAAAGAAAAGAAAGAAGAGGGAATTCTAATCATAACAGAGCGTAGAGAAACGTGTAAGATAAACCCCACCTGAACTGTCCCTGACCCTTGGCTTTTCCATCATGCAGGGTCCTGAAAGCAGGGAAAACAGAAGCAGAGGCATCTTTCCACCTCTCCTTCCCCTCTCGGACCTCAGCTTCTCCTCAGAGAGGATAAATCACCTGGGCGTTTATAATGTAGACACAGGCATTTCATTTCCTGGATTCTGAATGTGGTCATTCAACAAACCACTGATCACCACCTCCCAGGAAGAGTTTCTCAACTTGTGACCCATGGCCACCTGTATCAGGATCATCTTAAACATGCAGATTCCCAGGCCCTTATTTGGCCACCCAAGAGGATCCTGGGAATGTAAATGTTTTTATTTTTTTTGGTTTTTTTTTTTCTTTTGGTTTTTTTTTTTTTAGACAGAGCCTCAAGCTGTCCCCCTGGGTACAGTGCTGTGGCATTACAGCTCACAGCAACCTCCAACTCCTGGACTCAAGAGTCTCCTGCCTCCGCCTCCCAAGTAGTTGGGACCACAGGCGCCCGCCACAACGCCCGGCTATTTTTTGGTTGCAGCCGTCATTGTTGTTTGGCGGGTCCGGGCTGGGGATTCGAACCCGCCACCTTAGGTGTACGTGGCTGGCACCTTAGCCGGTTGAGCTATAGGCACCGAGCCTGTAAATGTTTTTAACAAGCTCCTGGGGACAGTGACTTTGAGAACCACAGTGTCCCCAGGGCCTGAACCTGTGTAATGTCAGGAGGCAGATTAAGAAAACATAAAGCACTAACACTGGGGCAGTGGCCTTGATCACGAGTCCAGAGGTAAAGACGGTGTACCTTTACACACTCTTCACCGTCTCTAAAGAGACCTTGGTGGCTATTATAGGTAGAATTTCATCTCCCCCAAAATTCATATGTTGAAGTCCTAACCCCCCACACACCTCAAAATGTGATTGTATTTGGAAATAGGATTGTAGTAGATTATTTATGATGAAGTCACACCAGAAGAAGGTGACTCCTAACCCAGTATGGCAATGTTCTTATAAAACACGGAAATTAGAACGTACATACACCCAGGGTGATGACGTCCAGGTGATGACAAAGTCAAAGACCAGGATGACGCTTCTACAAGCCAAAGACTATCTGTAGACCCTGGGAAGGACACACAGGAAAAGATTCTCTCTCCCAGCGTTCAAAAGAGACCAACCCTTGCTGACATCTTGATCTTGCACTTCTGGCCTCCAGAACTGGGAGACAATAAATTTCTGTCATTTGAGCCACCCAATCCATGGTACTTTGTTACAGCAGCCCTAGCAAACGAATGCAGCCTCTGCAGAAAGGGGTGTTATGTCTGCTCTCAGCAACAAAGTCCCTGCAGCCCAACCAGACCTGGGGAAGCAGAGGACCCATTCTGATCGGTTCACAGTCAGGTCTGATAATAACTGACACTAAACTGAAAATTAAAAACAAGAACATTCTCATTGCCAGGCGATAGCGAAACCTATATCCCAAAGCTCCCAGAAATTTACCCATTCATCAAACCTATCCAGCCCACACCAAGTTCAAGTGCCTTGGCAAGTCTCTCTTGTCTTTCTGTAACACTCTGCCCCAACATCCACATGGCTCACTCTCCACCTTCCTCCTAGTTTCTTCTCAAATGCCTCATTAGCAAAAAGTTACTGCCTAAATTCCCCACAGCCACCACCAAAAAAAGGCACACCCACAGTCACTTGCTAGTGAACAATATCATTCCCAGGCAAATACCTCCTCCTTTATTTTTTCAATAAATATAGATTGAGGACCTACTGTGTGCCAATCTTCACTTTAGGCATGGGAAATGCCCCTAAGAACAAAAACAAGCATGCGTTCCCTCCTGTTTATTCAAGAAGGGCAGGGTGCGGTGGCTCAAGTCTGTAATCCTAGCACTCTAAGAGGCCAAAGCAGGTGGACTGCCTGAGCTCAGGAGTTAGAGACCAGACTGAGAAAGAGTGAGACACCCCACCCCATCTCTAAGAATCGCTGGGCGTTGTGACAGGTGCTTATAGTCCCAGCTACTTAGGAGGCTGAGGCAAGAGGATTGCTTTTTCCCAAGAGTTTGATGTTGCTGTGAACTGTGATGCCACAGCACTCTACCAAGGGTGACAAAGTCAAACTCTGTCTCAAAAATAAAGAAAAAAGAAAGAAATGCTAGTGGAGCACATATTGTGTGCCAGATACTGTAATGCTGGGGACACAGCAGTGAAAGCAGACATGACCCTCAAAGATATGGCAGTTTGGGAACAGGGAGCAGAGATTAGGAAACAATGGTGATAAAAGGGACCCATCTTATGATAAAGGAAGACTGGGTACACTGCTAAAGCATTTTATTTGATTCTTTTCCTCATGTGATAAACTTAGACCAATGCATAAATGTTCATGTTCAAGGTTAGTGGAGCAAATATGAATATATTTGCTATATTCCATTCCTTGTTGGAGCTTAGAGCGCCCAGCTAGAATCTGCATGAAAATGTTAAAAAGCAGCAGAAGGGGCCTTGTCAGGAAATGTGTGCCCCAACACTGCACAGAGCAAATGAGCTATCGGGATGTGTGGACCTAGTGCTCACAGAGCAGGCCACGAACTGAATTCTAATCTGGTCTGCAGTATGTTTGCAATATTTAAACAGTATGTTAAGAAAACTACTTAATAGTGACTATTTCACTCTGGCTGAAATCCAAACTCATGTCCCTGGAGCCCTCTCCACAGGATCTCTGGCCCTAGCCTGGCCCTTCCACCGGCAGCCTCACCACACTCCCTCATTAGCCTTTCCCTCACTGGCCTGACCTTTCTGCTGTAGCCACCAAGCCCTGGCCCACCTCAAGATGCTGGCCCCATCTGCCCATAGCTGTGTCTTCTTTTTTGTCCGTCAAATCTCAGTCTAAATGGGCTTGAGGAGGTCTTTCCCACCATGCCCATGACATTGCTTCCCGAGTCTAGCTCCTTTACTAATGCTCACATCCATCACATGCCTGTTTCCTGTGTGTTTCTCCTTGAAACTCTAAGCTCCATGAGAGCAGGGAGCAGTCTGTCTTGAACATGGAAGGCGCTCGATCTGCTGAATATACAAATGGTGGCAGAACTCGGATGAGGACGCTAAGAGGGGACAAAGGAATGCTGAAGAGTGGGCATGAGGAAAAAAACCTAGCTCAGTTAGCTGCTTTAGCTAGAACTGTGGATTTGAGCTGCTCAGTCCAAACGGAGAATTTCCATGGCACCTGCTATGTGCTTAGAACAACTTGGCAAAGCAGCAGGAATCCTCAGAATAGGGAGAAGACCAAAGTCAGAACTTGGCAGAGTCCGCCTGCTCCCAGTTGACGTAGGGAAAAGAGGACTTCCGGAGGCAGAGATGTGGGTGGCAGGCCTCGGCTTGTTTGATTATTTTTAGCAGCCCAGATGCAAAGATTAGAAAAACATAATCTTTCCACATGAATGTATTTGCGTCAGGCCAGGTTGTTTAATCCCCTGAGAGGAGCAGTCATCTTAAATGTGATTAACTGAAGTAAACTATGATTAGTTCAAACGTCAGAGTTGCTCTCATTTGGGGTCCCGAACTGTGTTAGTTTCCAAAAGCAAGTTGTCAGCAGGGCCCCATTGGCTCAAGAGAACAATCTGTCCCAGGACTCTCTCCTAGCTCTTGGTGGTTGTTGGCAATCTTCAGTATCTCTGTCTTTCTACAGCCTCCTCCTCTGTGTGTACCCCCTCTCCTGTTCTTTGCTGGCTTTTTCCCCTTAAGACACAGTTCTACTCTGTTTCCTAGGCTAGAGTGCAGTGGCGTCTTCCGTCTTCAAAGCTCACTGCAGCCTCAAACTCCTAGGCTCAAATGATACTCCTGCCTCAGCCTCCCAGAGTGCTAAGATTACAGGCATGAGCCAGCATGCCCAGCCTCTCCTGTTCCTGTCAATCAGATTGGATTTAGGGCCCACCTTACTCCAGTATGACCTCTACTAATTCCATCTATAAAGATCCAATTTCCAAATGACATCACATTCTGAGGTTCTGGGGATGACATGCATTTTGAGGGACACTGCCCAACAAGATGTTAACAATCCTTTTTTTTTTTTTTAAACTTATTTATTTGCCATTTTTGGCCGGGGCTGGGTTTGAACCCGCCGCCTCCAGCATATGGGACTGGTGCCCTACCCTTTTGAGCCACAGGCGCCGCCCAATGTTAACAATCCTTATCAGGCACTGGCTCAAAGGAGCAGGGACTAAAAGAGGGGTCTGTGTTCAAGCCCTAATGCTGCTGACTGGGGACAGAAAATGGCTGGCCTGGGCCCCATACTTGTGCCCCTCCTTGTACCTTCAGTAATAAGGCAACTAGACTTGCTATGGCTCCTGGGGCACCCCATGCATTGCACTGGCACCAAAACACCACTTACTCCTGAACACCTCCCTGGACCAAGAGGCCTGAAGGGAAGTATCCTCTAATTAGGAAGCCTGAAGCACGTGCTACAGAACAGGCTGCTCCTGTACCCAGGGCCAGTTACATGGCCTCACTCAGAAGGATCCCCAGGCTCCCTTTTCTTTTTTTTTAAAACAATCTCAAGCTGTTGACCTGTGTAGAGTGCTGTAGCGTCATAGCTCACAGCAACCTCAAACTCTTGGGCTTAAGTGATTCTCTTGCCTCAGCCTCCCAAGTAGCTGGGACTATACGCACCCACCACAATGCCCAACAATTTTGGGGTTGTAGTTGTCATTGTTGTTTGGCAGGCCTGGCTGGATTCAAACCCACCAGCTCTGATGTATGTGGCTGGCACCCTAGCTGCTGAGCCAGGCTTGCTTTTCTATTTTTATTTTATTTTAAGTAGACTTAGGGATCTCACTTTTGCTCAGGCTGGTCTCAAACTCTTGAGCTCAGGCAACCCACCTGCTTTGGCCTCTGAGAGTTCCAGGTGAGAAGTTCTGGCATGGAATCAGGCTGAGGGTCCATAAGAAAGAAGAGGCCAGTCTAGAGACAAGGGAAGACTTGAATACAGGAGGAAAGGAGACTGGATAGCGACCAGGTGTCAGCTCAACTCTCACATAGTTGCAAAAGGCTTTTATTAGCCTCATCAGTATGTTGAAATGGGCCAGTCCAGAGACAAGGGAAGGCTTGAATACAGGAGGAAAGGAGACTGGATAGCGACCAGGTGTCAGCTCAACTCTCACATAGTTGCAAAAGGCTTTTATTAGCCTCATCAGTATGCTGAAATGGCGCTGTGAGTCCAGAATACTGCCCAGGGCTCTTCTCTAGTGCAGGGTCATGGTTATGGGTACAGTGTTTCCAGTGGTCTTGAAACATTCCAGCAACCAGGGAGGAGATTACTGGTTTCTGACCTGATTTTCTAAAATGGCTACACTCCAGTCAGGTTATGAGAATTCCTTTCCCACACTAGGATTATAGGCATGAGCAACTGGGCCTGGCCAACCCAGGCTTGCTTCTAAGCCTTTGTTCAAGCTATCTTGAAATTTTCAATGGCTTTTTTAGCAAGAGTTCTCATATTTTCATTTTGCCCTAGGTCCCACAAATTATGTAGCTGGCATGCCTGTGCTCTTCAAAAATGTCAGGGTCCCAAAAGACAAAAGAAGGCTAAGAAAACATTCCAGATTAAGGGAGACCAAAGAAACATGACAACTAAATTCACCTTCTGGATTTTGGGTGGGGCAGTGAGCCAGGGAGTAGCTATAAAAAACATTAATTATAGGGATAAATGACAAAATGTAAATGTGAACTGTGGATTAGATAATAAACCTGTATCAATCGGAAATGTTCTAATTTCATTTGTCCTGTGGTTAATAATTCGCCCTTGCTGTGGCTCAGTGGGTAGGGTGCTAGCCCCATGTACCAAGGGTGGCAGGTTCAAACTCAGACCCAGCCAAATTGCAACAAAAAAAAATAGTGGGGCATTGTGGCAGGCCGCTATAGTTCCAGCTACTGGGGAGGCTGAGGCAAGAGAATCACCTAAACCCAGGAGTTGGAGGTTGCTGTGAGCTGTGATGCCACAGCACTCTACCAAGAGCGATAAAATGAGATTCTGTCTCTAAAAAAAATAATAACAATAGTAAGACTATGTCCTTGTTCTTAGAAGATGGTGAAGTGCTGGGGTAAAGGATAATGAAGTCTGCAACCTGGTAGCAATTAGTTCTGAAAAAAACATACATGAAAAAAGTACAAATGACAAAGCCAACGTAGTAAACCTAAACAATCTCCAAATTCAAGTAAAAGGTATATACCTGCCTCTTCAAAACTTCTTTACCCTTTTTGAGAACTAAAACCTCTATCCCTGCCTAAGGCCAGTGGTCAGGAGGAGCAGGGGTGTCCCCTTTGTTCTTTGTGCCACAGAAAGGATTAGGGGCCCAAAATTTCAATATAAGGCTGGCGTGTTGGCTCACACCTGTAATCCTAGCACTCTAGGAAGCCCAGGTGGGTAGATCACCTGAGTTCATGAGTTCCAGACCAACCTGACCTCATCTCTAAAAATAGCTGGGCGTTGTGATGGGCGCCTGTAGTCCCAGCTGCTAGGGAGGCTGAAGCAAGAGAATCAACTTGAGTCCAAGAATTTGAGGTTGCTGTGAGTTATGACGCCCCTGGTATTTTACTGAGGGTGACAAAGTGAGACTGTCTCAAACAAAGGGGTGGGGGGAGATTAGTCCCGGTGGAGGCCATGACATCGTTTTAGTCAAGGATAGGATTCTGTTCAAAAGTAGGAATCAGGACTTTGAAACGATAATCTGACATTTTCATCCTTTGCTGGCAAAAGAATAAATTTCTCTTTATGTCTTCTGATGCGGTCTCGTGGACGAATACCGCGCTTCAGGTAACAAGTTATGCCATTCTTCAATTTACAGGTTTGATAAAAAGTTAGTCACCACCTAAGCCACTCCCGCCAATACCCAGCAGACCGGAGGAGAGATCTCACCACATAGGGAAGGAGCGCAGACAATTCAGAACAGAAAACTACAGATAGCCGGTCTTGAGTCATGTGGGTCGAGTCACGTGACCGCAGGCCCGCGTCCAACATGGCGGCCTCCACGGGTCGCTGGCATCTCTTCCTACTTGCATTGCTCGGCTTCCTGGGGGAGGCTTTCGGCGGCCTCGGCTCGAGGTAAGTGCAGCTCCCGGAGTTAGCCTTGATCACTCACCTCATTGACCTCCGAACTCACGGCCGCCCCGTCCCCGCAGGGCCTCCAGAGAGGACGACTTGCTGCTGCCCTATACCCGCGCACGCGCGCGCATCCCCCGGGACTGCACGCGGGTGCGCACCGGCAGTCGCGAGCACGAGAGCTGGCCTTCAGCCCCTGCGATCCCAGGCGCTGGCGGCCCTACAGTGCGCACCTTCGTCTCGCACTTTGGGGACCGCGCGGTGACGGGCCACTTGACGCGAGTCGTTGCGCCCCTGAGCACCTTCTCGGTGCTGGAGCCTGGTGGGACTGGCGGCTGTGCGATAAAACGCCGAACCACTGTGGAGGAGACCGCGCGGGCGGCCGACTGCCGCGTCGCTCAGAACGGCGGCTTCTTCCGCATGAGCACCGGAGAGTGCCTGGGGAACGTGGTGAGCGACAAGCGACGGGTGAGCAGCTCCGGGGGGCTGCAGAACGCGCAGTTCGGGATCCGCCGCGACGGGACTCTGGTCACCGGGTGAGGAGGCGGGTCAGCCCCGCGGCTGTCGAGGGCAAAGGGACTGAGATTTGAGTTGTAGCCTTGCCGCCGTATTCAGATCACTTCACCAAGCTAAGCCTCCGTTTCTCATCTGCAGAATGGGCATGGTAATACCTTTCATGCAGAGTTTATTCATCATCTCTTATCTGTTAGCACTTGCTTGGTGTCAGACAATGCGCTGTGCCCTGGAGAGAGAGCAGTGAGCACACATAGCCTTTGTTTTAACGGACTAGTAGGAAAAATAAACAAAAGCCAGGTTAATGAGATTCAGACTGTATGTGTGCAATGAAGCAATGAACGGGATCAATCAATTATAAATAGAATGTTGACCTTAGAGAGGGTAATCAGGAACGGGCCTTTCGTAGAAGGTAACCTTTGAGTTGAGACGGGAAGATTAATCACGTGATTAACAGGCTAATTAAGAGGCTGTTACAGGCATCAGGTGGTAGTTGGCTGTGGCGAGGGCCTGGAGATGAGGGCCACATGGATTTGAGATCTGTTTGGAATGTTTTTGGTTTTGGTTTTTAGTCAGAATCTTGTTCTTTTGCCCAGACTAGAGTGCGATGGTGTCCTCATAGCTCACTGCAACATCTGTCTCTGAACTCAAGCAATCCTCCTCCCTCAGCCTTTTAAGTGGCTGGGACTACAGGTGTCCACCACCACACCCAGCTAATTTTTTCTACTTTTAATAGAGATTGGGAGGTGGTCTTGCTTTTGCTTAAGCTTTTCTGGAACTCCTGGCTTCAAGCTATCCTCCCTCCTTGGCCTCCCAGAGTGCTAGTGTTACATGGGTGAGTCACCGCCCCTGGCCTAGAGTGGTTGATTATATTAAATGAAGTGTTGACTGTTTACAGTGGTGCCTGGGGGGTATTGTCAGAGACTGCTAGCCAAGATTCCAAGAGCTGCAGAGTACTGCAGCCACACTACAGCCCAGGCAGTCTCCTAGGGCCAGAGGAGAAATTGAGCAGTCGCCAGGGGCGGGGAGGAGAGCCCCACTGCCCACAGCTGCTTCTGCTGGTGAGTGAGCTTGGCATCTTCTCTGGATCCAGGTACCTGTCTGAGGAGGAAGTGCTGGACACTGAGAATCCTTTTGTGCAGCTGGTGAGTGGGGTCGTGTGGCTGATTCGCAATGGAAGCATCTACATCAATGAGAGCCAGGCCACAGAGTGTGACGAGACACAGGAGACAGGTGAGGGGAGGGGACGCCAGTGGCAACAGCCCCCTTGAGAACCAGAAACTTTGGGGTGGGGGAAGGAGTACCATTCTTCAGTCTTTGGACAAGTATTCATTGAGCAGTTACTTTGTTTATATCTGCTATTCTGGGTACTGGGAGGTGATCTTAGATCAGAAGGAGCAAGCCATGGAAAGTGCCAGGGAGGAGCATTTCCCAGACAGAGGGAACAGAAAGTGCAAAGGCCCTAAGACAGAAAGTGGCTGCAGGGTGGTGGGTAGGGAGTTGAGAGGGGAGCTCAGGCTGAGCTGGTAGAGTTTTCACCTGGAGGTTGAGTTACCAGGTTTACTTATAAGAAGAGCCCTGGCTACTCTGGAAATGGCTGGGACCTGCAGAGGAGAAGGCAGGGAGACACATGCACACAGGAGAAGGCTGTTGTGCATGCAGGACAGACTCAGTGTGGCTGGAAGTAGGAGGTAGAGCTTGGAGGCCTTTCAAGGGTGATCAGCCAGGCTGCTTCCCTTCAGGTTCCTTTAGCAAGTTTGTGAATGTGATATCAGCCAGGACAGCCTTGGGTCATGACCGGAAGGGGCAGCTGATACTTTTCCATGCAGATGGCCAGACAGAGCAGCGCGGGTGAGTCCTGGGTGCCTGGGCAAGAGGGTTGTATTCATTTGTTATCACTACAAAGCCAATTAGATAGACCACGTGGCTTCAAAACCATACAGATCATAGTTCTGTAGGTTAGAATTCCAGGAACATTTGACTAGGAGTCCTCCATGTGCATGATATCCCAGGGACAAGATAAAAACACTGGTTAGGTGCGGCTCTTCCTGGAACATCTGAGAAAGAGTCCTTCTACACTGATGTGGGTTGTTGGCAGAATCCGGCTTCCTCCATTTCAGGGCTGAGGCCTTTGTTTCTTTTTTGTTTGTTTGTTTCTTGGTTGCCAGTTGTCATTGTTGTTTAGCTGGCCCAGGCCAGGTTCGAACCTGCCAACTTCTGCGCCTGTGGCCAGCACCATAGCCACTGTGCTATGGGTACCGAGCCATGAAGCCTTTGTTTCTTTGCTGGCTGCCAGCAGGGCTCTGAGCACCTCAAGCAGCCACATTCCTTCTTACCTTGTAGCCTTCCCTTCCTCGAGCTACAACAATGTGATGAATCCCTCTTGCTTCCTCTTCTGCCACCTGCCAGAGAAAGTGCCCCCGTATTTAAGGGTTCCTGTGATGGTGCTGGGCCCACCTGGACAATCCAGGCCCCTTTCCCTCCCTTAGAGACACCTGTGCCAGATCACAGCCCAGTTGTGAGTGTGGTCTTGCATATTCACTGCTTTGGGAGATTAGCACAGGGCACTTTGGGGGCCACTTATATATTTGCCTGCCACACTGGGTCTGACACTGTCCACTCTTGGGAGTATGAATTAGACCAGAAACAGTGATGGATGCTGAGCAGCACCACTGTTATGCCGCAGCATTAACCTATGGGAGATGGCTGAGTTCCTGCTGAAACAGGGCGTGGTCAATGCCATCAACCTGGATGGAGGCGGCTCTGCCACCTTTGTGCTCAATGGGACCTTGGCCAGTTACCCGTCGGATCATTGGTAAGCACACCAGAACTCCCCTTCCCAAGGGCTGACAGCTAGGACTGCCCCTGCCTATCTGATTCAGCCAAGTATTGGGCACCAATTGTGTGCCAGGCCCTGGAGTTGAAGAGTGAGCCGGAAGAGCCAGGACCTCTCCCTGTCAGAATGCCAGGGCTGCCTATACCTAGAATGGGGTCAGTTGGTCAGGAGAGACCTCCCTAAGATAAATGGGGGTAGGAGAGTCTTTCCGGAAGAGGGCACTCTGTGTGCAAAGGCTTGGAGAGGTGGGAATGCAGAGAGAGCCCGTGAAGGCAGGGTGGAATACCTTCTTTCCCTTTGCAGTCAGGACAACATGTGGCGCTGTCCACGCAGCGTGTCCACTGTGGTGTGTGTGCACGAGCCCCGCTGTCAGCCACCTGATTGCCATGGCCATGGGACCTGCATAGCAGGGCACTGCCAGTGTACAGGGGGCTTCTGGCAGGGAACTGGCTGTGGTGAGCTGGACTGTGGCCCCTCCAACTGCAGTGGACACGGGCTGTGTACAGAGAGTGAGTGGGGCTCTGGGGAGGCGGCTACCCCCAGGTCCCTGGCCCTGCATGGGCCCTCACCTGCCCTCTCCATCTTGTCTTGGCAGCCGGCTGCCACTGCAAAGCTGGATGGATGGGGACCAACTGCAGTGAAGGTATGAGCCACCAGGCTGACACCAGGAATGGGGAGAGCATGGTTATGGCAGCCTGGAGTGCCTTGGAGCTCCCCAGAGCTCCCCAGCCTCCTTTATCTCCAACGCTGGTTTAGAAGTCACATTTCCTGCCCTTGCCCCCTTGTGAATCACTGAGTGACTCTGCTGTGGCTGCTGCACCACATTCCACGCATTGGGTGGCTAAAACAACAGGAATTGACTAGGAGTCCTCTATGTGCATGGTATCCCAGGGACAAGACAAAAACATTGGTTAGGTGCAGCTTTTCCTGGGACATCTGGGAAAGAGTCCTCCCAAGCTGATGAGGGTTCTCTCAAGTTGTAGAGGCTATGTCAGAAAGCAAGGTGTCAGCAGGGCCACACTCCCTCAGAAAGGCCGAGAGAACATCCCTGCCTCTTCCAGATCTTGGTGGCTCTGGGGTACCTTGGTTTGGGACCACATCATTCCCTATCTGCCTCCATCTTATGGCCTCTGACTCTCTCTGGTCTCCCTCTGCTAGTTCTTGTAAAGATCCCCCAGCATTGGTTCTGGGGCCCACCCTAAATCCAGGATGGCCTCATCTTGAGATGTGAACTTAATTATTACTTCTGCAAGGACCCTATTTCCAAATAAGGTGGCATTCAGGGGCCGACCTGGGGGAGGCTGGGGAGTGCTTCTCCTCTAGCCCAATTCTGCAGGCACCTCGGGGCCATCCTATTGTGCCAAGAAAGGCTGTGACACCAAAGGCCTTGACCTCTGTCCTCTTATCTCTTCTCTGCAGAGTGTCCCCTTGGCTGGCATGGGCCAAGCTGCCAGAGGCCTTGTGAGTGTGATCACCAGTGTCCCTGTGACCCCCAGACTGGCAACTGCAGCATCTCCCCAGGTACAGGCCCCGGCCAGCACCTTTGGGGACAGGAGAGGGCAGGCCCTCCTCCTCCACCCCTTCACCCTCCTCTGGTATCTTACAGTGAAGCAGTGTCTCCAGCCGTCTGAAACCACCATGAGTGCAGGAGAGCTCTCCTTTTTCACTGGGTGTGTACTTAATGGCGGGGGGGGGGGGGGGGGGGGCGGCAAAAGTAGGAAAAGCCACCTCCTACTCCTCTTCTACCATGAGACTTGGCCTCTGCCAAGAGACTGAGCAGGGTTGGGAAGTAGCATCTGGACACACAGATAATATTTCCCCATTGTAAAAAAGCACAGGGACAGTCACAACTGGTGCCAAGACAACACCAGAGACCCTGTCTCTACTAAAAGCAAAAATTAGCTGGGCATGGTGATGGGCCTCTGTAGTTCCAGCTACTTGAGAAGCTGAAGCAAGAGGATCACTTGAACCCAGGAGTTTGAGGTTGCTGTGAGCTATGATGCCCCGGCACTCTAGCCTGGGGTGACAGAGTGCGACTCCATCTAAAAAAAAAATCTGTCTTCTCTTGAAATATCCAGAGATGTGGTGGCACTGACCTGCCTCTGGCACCAAGACTGTCCCTGCTGCTCCCTGTGCACATCTTAAGTGCAACCCCATCCCCACCTGTCCCATTTTGCTCATCAACATCCCCTTTGTAGTCCATGGAAGTCCCCTACTTGGTGTCCCCTGCAAGGACTACCCCAGACCTGAGTCTGCTGGTGACCCCCACTTGGCTCCCTCTTCTGTCCTCAGGACCGCCTGGTTGGCCCTCACCCTGGCCCTGGTGTTCCTCCTGCTTGTCAGCACAGTGGCCAATGTGGCCTTGTTCCTGGGCTCCCGAGCAGAGAGGCGGCGACGCCTGGATGGGGACTACGTGTACCACCCACTGCAGGAGATGAATGGGGAGCTCCTGGCCACAGAGAAGGAGCAGCCTGGGGGTTCCTGCAACCCCTTCAAGGACTGAAACCTCAGGCTGCCCAGGAAAGCCCATCCTTCTCCTTTCCACATGGTCCAGCTTCTGCAGAGGAAATCCTGAGGCTGCTGGTGTGGACCGTCAGGGTAACCTCAGCCCGGTGCTGCATCTCAGCTTCTAATAGCGCCTGTGCCTCAGCCCTTACCTGGCCCTGCTGCTCCAGTGGTGCGGTGCTCCCTGGAGACTCTGCCTCCCTCCCGCCTGTGTCTGCTGCCCGTGGCCTGGGCCCTGCCGAGGGCCTGCTCAGCTGCCAGAAAGTCTCCTGAGGAAGGGCCTGCTAGTGAACCAAACTCAGTGGCTGAATCATGAGAAAGTAACAGAGCCTAGCAGGCCCTCCTGGATGGGGTGGGTTAAAGGGACGAGTCTCTGCCTTCCCGGCTACATCCCAGGACCCTTTTTCAACAGAGCTCATCACTGAATTTGCCAACTAGAATCCTGTTTCTTGCCATAGGAAGCTTCTTAGAAGAAGGGATGGGGTGGAGGGGGATGAAATCATGTTTACAAACCTATTTTGTTGTCCTGCTGCTGAGAGTTTTCTATCACTTGAATAAATTGATATAAGAAAAGGACCACCAGGTGGTGTCTGAATTCTGAATCATGAACTTAAGAGGTTGAGCTTCTTAACTGGACCTGAGATGGGTTATAAACAGCCCAGATTCAAACCCAGCTCCCTGATGGGTTCGTTTCATCTAGTGATTCCCAGCTTATGTGCACACGTATTGCTGGGAGATACTACCTTGCACATTTGGTTCTGGGGCAGGGCTAAGGAGTCTGCATTTCTTTTCTTTCTTTTTTTCTTTTTAAGAGTCCCACTCTTGTCACTGCTGTCATACTAAAGCTTCAGGTCCCTAGAACATTTTGAGGGGCAAAGCTTTAGTTAGAATTTCGATTAGTTATCCACATTTCAAAATCAAGAGATTAACAAAAACTCCAGATTTCTGGTTTCTCTTAAGGAGAGAACACTGGCAGCCCCCAGAGGATACCTGCACAAGGTAGGGGCAGCTGAGACAGTCCCCACCAGGCCAGCCCTGTGAGTATCAGAATTTGTCACTTGCCCATGGAGGGTCTTGTCACTGTTTAGCAGCTTTTGGGGAGGAGAGGTGGGAAAGGGGTACTATTGTGAGCAGGTGCTCAGTCTTATCTGCCAAAATGTGGCACAACTATTAGCTGTCTCTTGCTACAAAACAGTCGAAAAAGTGGCTTAAAACAACTACTCATCTCTTAAGATTCTTGGGTCAACAACTGATTCTGCAGCTGTGGGCTAGGACCCGTGGTTTCGGCTGGGTTGGCAATAGGGATGGCAGCTAATGATGTAGCATACCCAAGGGTCCCAAGAGGGATGCATGCAACATTTCAAGTCAGAATTAGTGTGAATTCACGGCCACCACATTCTGATAGATAAAGACCAGGTCAGGCCAGATTCACGGGAAAGGGAAACAGGCACTATGTCTTGAGAAGGGCTGCAAGGCCAGGCACCTGAGAGTCTCTTTGGCATGCTCCTGGGAGCAGTTTCCAAGCCTGGGTGTAGGTCAGAGTGTGTGCCTGGGAATGCTCTACAGGTGCAGACTCTAGGCTCTGTCCCAGACACAATCAGAATCCCGGTGGGTGGGGGTCCTAAAATCTATGGGGCCTGAGATGGCGGCCCCAATGATGGCTGTCCTAAAATGGCCCTTGGCCTCTGAATGGACATCTCTGTCCTCTGCTTTGCTAGCAGCTAAGCTGGGAAGTGACAGCATAACCGAGGCCTGGAGGCAGCACAGCATCACCTAGAGAAGGCCCATCACAGCGGGTTGGGGCAGGGCTGGGGGGCAAGTGAGCTTGAGCTCACTTGAGCATGCCAAGCAAGCGTGAATCCTCTGGCCTGTGGAGTTTCATTTTAATCTGCCATTGGGATAGCTGTTACTGCTAGATGTCCAAGGTCCAGTCCCCCTTCTGGTAGCAGCCCTGACTTAACTGAGTCACCAGAAGCAGAAGCTGTAAGAGCAGGTTGTTTGTGTGAGATGTGCCTGCAGGGCACACCTGGTAGGGGGCAAGGCAGGGCAGGCAGCCCATGGAGGGTGCATTAGTGAGCAGGTCAGTGCTATAGCAACTGGGCTCAGTGGAACCACTCAAAGGCTGGGAAGCTGGAGCATTTATCAGCCAACATCCACTCATCACCAATTGAGTGCACATCCGGTATGCCCTACACAGGGCCCAAGTGTCCTCTAGCAATCAGAGGTAGCCATCAGAGGCAGAGTTGCAGTTTCTTGCATTGAGAAGCCTTCCATGGCAATGACAGTGCCTGGGGAAGTGGACAGGGCATCAGGAGCCCTGGCTGGAGACCTCCATCATGTCTATCACCGTTGAGATACCCTATCTCCTCCACTCTCCATCCAGAAGGTCGGGCTGGCACCCCTCCCCTCAAGTTCCAGGTGGGCCTCAGGGTTGGTCCAGAGGCAGGCCATCCCAGGCTAACCAGTCAGTGCCCACTCTGGAACTTCTGGAATTGGAATAAGAAAGTCGTTGGGGGGAGGGTTGTCTAGCTTCCATGGTGTAGGCCACATAGAGGAGGAGAAATGACCAATGTGGAAAAGGCCTAACCTGAACCAAGATATGGAGAGAGCAAACCAATGTGGAGAAGGGCCAAAGTGAGGGCAGTGGAGAGGGGGACAGGATTTGAGCCCCTGGATTCAGCTATATCTGAAGCTGACACTTGGAGTCCCAATTATATAGACCAATATATTCCCATTTTTGCTTGAGGCAGTTTATGTTGGTTTTGTGGCATCCCAAGGACTGGAACACTCATAATGTACTGTAACAGGACAGGCACATGTTTGGACTCAAGGCATTTAGATTTGGGACTGCAGAGCTTAGATGGTACATGGAGCAGGACGCAGAAGAGTGTTTGAGATTCCAAATCCTACCTTTGGTGGTAGGAGGGCACATGTGACAAATATAAAGCCACTGAGCTGTAGGTAAGCTAGTCAGAGATTAATGTGGACTGGTCATAGCAGTGCAAGGATCCCCTCTGGGACTGTCTAGTAGTGACTGAAGATGCCCCTGCAGCCCACTAGGAACCCTGACAATTCCATGTGCTGGGCAGTTGCCACAGTGACACACCTCAGCTGCTGAGTGCTCTGCCTAAAATTTAGGATTAAGAAAGCCCCCAGAAGATTTATGTTCCTGGTGTCAGTAAGCTTTAAAGAGCTCCTTGGGCCAGGTGAGGTGGCTCACACCTGTAATCTTAGCACTCTGGGAGACTGAGGCAGAATTCCTTGAGCTCAAGAGTTCAAGACCAGCTGAGCAAGAGTGAGACTCCATCTCTACAAAAAATAGGCAAACTAGCCAGGCATTGTGAGGATCACTTAAGCCCAAGAGTTTGAGGTGAGCTATGATGCCACAGCACTGTATCCAGGGCAACAGAGTGAGACTCTGCCTCAAAAATATTAGGCTCGGTGCCTGTAGCTTAGCGGTTAGGGCGCCAGCCACATACACAGGGGCTGGCAGGTTCAAACCCAGCCCGAGCCAACCAAACAACAATGACAACTACATTTCTTGTTGTTTTCTACAACAACAACAACAACAAAAATAGCCAGGTGTCGTGGTGGCACCTGTAGTCCCAGCTACTTGGGAGGCTGAGGCAAGAGGATTGCTTGAGCCCGAGTTTGAGGTTGCTGTGAGCTTTGGCATAGTAAAACTCTGTCTCAAAAAAATAAATAAAATAAAATAAATAATTTAAAAGGGCTCTTTGGAGCCCTGAGATAGAAATGAAACTTAACTGTGTGTGTCCACGAGTTCTCAAAGGTGTCAGGGTCTCAAGAAGACAGTGGCTCTGGTAAACTAAGTCACAGGTTTAAGTTGTGCTTTCTGGGACTCAGGTCCCTCCAAAATGCCATAGAGGGGTTAGGCCCTGAAGGGAAGGGTGGGGAGGAGGGCCACAGAGAAGTTTTGGCAGCCACACCCACCTCTGACGTCCTTGGGAGGTCCCAGCCCTGCCCCAGTCCCCAGGGCAGCAGCTCAGACATTCTGTGCCCCAGAGGAAGAAGTGGTCCCAAAGGCAGCCTCTGGGCCACAAGGGAGCCCTGAGTGTGTTTTGCCCTCTCTTGATCCAGGCCTCAGAGATCCCCAGGGAGTCACTGCAGCTGAGACAGACGGCAGCAGGGACCTGCAGCTCAGACCTGATTCCAGCTCCCACCCCCTCAGGAGCTGTCTTCTCCCATGGGGCTGTTCTTCCTCCTGCCAACACACCCACAAGTCAGCTGGCTGTTCCCTTCCAAACCCATCTCCCACAGTTCAAGAGAAATCCATGGAGCATCACAGTGAATGAAGGTGCTGTATCAATGAGGGGGGGGGGAGCTATCTCCTTGCACCATGAGCTGTGTCAGGCAGGGCTGGGTAACAGGTCATCATAGATAGATGACCCTCATGCCAACACAAAAGAACCATGCCTTCCCTCCCAAGTGACAGCTCCTGGCCTCCAGCTCCAAGACAAAGGAAGCTTTTCAGAGTCCCATGATCTATGTGGCAGCCAGAAGCCCTGCTCCAAGCCCAGAGAGAGTTCATTGGACTAACAGGTGGCACCCTGGACAGGGCCCCTCACCCTCTGATGTTAGGAGCATCCTGGGATTCAGCGCTCCAGGACACCAGGTCTGGCACTTTGGTAAAACCCCATGTGGCATCCACCTGGATACTGAGCAGGTAGCATCTCGGCAGTGCTGAGTAGGCCCCAGAGGTCTGCATTTTAATAACCACTAATAAACAGTGTATCTGCTTATACACTATATGCATAAGAAATGTTTTGAATACCATCCCCCTAAAATTCATGTCCACCCTGAACCTTAGAATATGACCTTATTTGGAAATTAGATCTTTGGGGATGTAATTAGTTAAGGATCTCAGGATGATATTATACTGGATTTAGAATGGGACCTAAATCCAATGGCTGGTGTCCTTATAAGAAGAGACAGAGAGAGAGAGAAAGGCAGAGACTGGAGTGATGCGACCACAAGCCAAGGAATGTCTGACATCACCAGGAACTGGGAGAGGTAAAGAAGGATCCTCCCTCAGAGCCTTCAGCAGAAGCATGGCCCTGCCAGCCCCTTGACTCCAGACTGCTGGGCTCCAGAACTGTGAGGATAAAGAAATTACTGTTGTTTTAAGATACCAAGTTTGTGGTACAGCAACCCAAGGAATTTAATACAGTATAAAACTCTCTCCCACCCACCAAGAACCAATTTGCAACCTCTTGAGTGATACCAGCCCTGCCGAGAATGCTCCAGAGTCTTGTAAACAATAGCTGGAAAGTTCCTGAACAAGCCCAGGTAACACCTCTAGGGTTTTAGGAAGTTGACAATAGAAGTAATGTCCAAACCTAAAATATTTACTGCTTCTGGTTGGAGCAAATGATGAGGCAAACAAAAAACATCATGTTTCACGGCCTGAAACAGACTGTTGAAATAATTATGCTATTCACATTGAACAATTAATTTTATGGGAGAGGGAGCAGAATTCCAGGTGGGAAAAAAACCTCAAACTTTTCAAC